CGTGTGCTAACTACGAGACCGGTCTTTCTTCCTCTTTCCACGAGCCTCCTCGCTTCCTCGCGCCGCATCCCGCGGCTGCTACTCCGCTTTTTCTCCTCTCCCCGTTGCACGCCTCTCCTCCCTCCCTCCCTCCCTCCCTCCCCCGTCATTTCCCTCTATCTCCTCTTCCGATTTCACGTGCACCTCGCGATCCTTTTCTCCACGTACATCGGCGTCGATTGCGGCGTGATGAGTGTAGTGTGTAATTGAGCAGCTCTAATTGCGTGTACTGTTAGAAGAAGATGACTCGAGCCTGATGACGGCACGGGTATAAAGTTTATTTATAGCCGCGCTTGTATAGGCGCTCCGACCGGATATTTTCCAAAGCCTCTATCGCTCCTGAGAGCGTTGCCTGAATTTTTCCATCGATCTTCATATTCTCGTATTATTCCCAGCATGCTGACTCGATTTTTTTTCTTCTAAAATTCTTTGTACGCGTTTCACGGATCTAAGAGTCGCTCCTCATCTTCCTGTCGGCTTTAGGGCTCAGGGGATTTGCATAATCCATCCGACAGCGTCGTATATCGCAGCGCGAGAGACAAACTATAAAATATTTGGAGAGCCCCGAGCTCGGCGTCGGGGATATTCTCACGTCCTCTTCCTCGGTGCCGATACCGGTGATGAACTCTTCATTTGCGAGACGTATCTTCATCCGCAGGATTTTACCTTCTCGCGCGACGGCGCACGGAACATCGCGCACGGACAGAACATCGTCATCGTCGCGCCGGGAATAGAACCGGACCCCTGGTCGATGCACCCCGGCAAGAAACGAGTCCTGGTGCACCGCAATACCGATCGCGCCTCTTCTATGACGCTCGCATTGTGTCCCGAGTCTTCCGCCGAGGTTTGATCGACGCAATCTCCCGATCCGATTAGACGCTCCTCCTTTGTTCACTCGAACCAACTCCGTACGACCGCGCCGCGCTCTGTCTCGCGAGACTGCTGGATGTACAGCCCCGTGACAGCCACGATCCTTTGTTCCGTCCATCTTCGCGCGAAAGCGGCGCTCTTTGTTCTACCGATCCTCCGCATTATCAGCTCTCGATCTCGCGCATCCTTCGCTTCATCGGCCGGTTCTCTTTCGTAAATCACTTATTGCACGGATCGATGCGTGATGCGAGTGAAGGCGATTCCCCGGTATCTTTATCCATTCAGGTATTTTGGGGTTCGATGATCTCTCGTAGACTTAACTCCTTGAAGAACTAAAAACTATAATAATTTTGTGAGGTACAAGGAATTGTATCAACACCATGGTGTAAAGATACAAGGTGAAACATTGCGCATGTAACCAATTTTTGAGGCAAATTGTTTCTTGATTCTTCCTGCATTCAACCGCAATGTTTTGCAGTTTGAAGGTTTGGGGCAAATTTCTGATTGGTCAACTCGGTAGTTTGGGCCACTTCTGATTGGTTGACACTGCGCATCCACCAGATTGCTTTACATTGCTTGTATCTTTACACCATCATCAACACTGTCTTCCGTTAAATAAATTTCTAGTTATTTTATATATAATCGTGAAAATATTCTTTCCAATTACGTTCGTGCGACTCAATCTTTTGCACGTTAATGCATTCATACAAAGTTGAGTAGGACGATCCGAAGGGGTATTTGTTTCTTCGAGATTCCCCCCCCCCCCCCGCGGAATTATGCGACGGCGTTTTTCCCATAGCGGGAAAACGCGCTCGTTAACGGAACCTGGCCGATCTGAAAATCTGCACCTTATTTTCCCGACGCCTTAATTACCGTAATAATGATCGCAACGATCACTTTCCGTGGGACGCGAAAGTTCTCACGAGGAGCCTCGCGGATGATGCGTACGCTTCTTCCATCCCGTCCGTTTTCGCGACAGACTCTCGGACGTTTTACGCGCTGAAGTTCGAAGGACGGGGTTTTGTATTTCAAGCAATCCGTACATTCTCGAGAAATATAGAGAATTCGCGTTCTCGACTACTTCTTCGATATACATTATTTGCGGGCGAAGGCCGCGAAAGGTGTACAGTGCTAACGAACGCGGCGCGCTCGGATCGAGGCAGAAGCTCGAGTTTGCTCAACAATTAGCCGCCCGAGGCGCGCCGAGTGGAATCCACGGGTGAACGCGGTACGTTTACATTTAGCATAACGTAGCATACAGATCCGTGTGTACATCATTCCGCGTCTTTTTTTCCCCCGTTCCGCCACCAGACCGGCGAAGAGAAAGGTCGAAGTTGCGGCCGCGCGCAGATGAGTTTGTTGACTCCGAACTTTTCGCAGATCCATCGCAGCAAATATCGCAATATCAATAATAAGACGATTCTGGATTGGACTTCGTTTCAACGAGCAAATATCAAGCAGACGAGCTTTTTCATTTTAGTCTTCTACGAATCGGAGAAAAATGCCCTGTTTTCAGTTCTGTTACCCTCGTGACACGCGGGGAGGAGACCATCCGCGGTAGTGACTACACGAAGAAACCGATATGGTCTCCACATGTCTAATTAAGGTTGGCACAACCCCAATAAATAGTAATATTTGGGACTGCTGTATCTGTGGTTGTCATACCCGCATTGGTATGATAAGTAGTCGAGACAACTATATGCTTTTCGTGCAGCAGACTTAGTGAATGTTGCAACAAAAAACAATGTAGATGCCCCTACTATTTATACGGCAACATTTTAGTTATTTTTGCCTTAGCCGGTCTTTCCGTGTACGTCTCCGTAGCAGGGTTTGTGCTAAATTGGTACACGGAAAGACCCTCCGAGGCAAAAATAACTAAAATTAAAACACTATGGAGAATATTCTTCAATATCGCCAGCAGTAATTAACAACGTCAGTGTTTCCTTGACCATATATCTGGCATTTTTAGCAGTACAGAAAATTTATTGCGAAAAATCTACCCTGGCTGAGGTAAGTTTTCGCAATAAATTTTCTGTATTATTAAAAATGCCAGATATGTTCAAGAAAATGCTGCATTGTTTTAATTAAAATGTTGCCGTATAAATAGTAGGGGCATCTACATTGTTTTGTGTTGCAGCATTCACTCAGTTTGCTGCACAAAACGCATATAGTTGTCGCCACTACTCCACTACATGCACCATACCAATGTAGATATGACAACCACAGATATAGCTATCCCAACTATTACTATTTACTGGGGTTGCGCCAACCCTAATTAGACATGTGGTGACCATATCGGTCTCTCCGTGTAGGCATCATCTGTTGGTCCTATCATGAATCTATTGCCCTTGGAGTGAAATGTGTTCAGTGGAAAGTTCATCGTTGGCTCGTGTAAACGTGGCGAAAGAGATTTGTGATTGAATTTGGCCATTGAAAGCCAACTGTCTTATATTAGAAGTCCATCTCATAATAAAGGACTGTTCCATGTGTTTTGAGAAGCTTCAATTAAACATGAAGAAAACTAGGCGGTTAAAATGCAGTTAAAATGCAATTAACAGCCAGCTGAAATTTCCCGTCGTTCGGTTCGCCGCTTCTCGTCCTGCCGATTGCTCCTTCGCTCGCAGCATCATCGATCGGGCGCCGTGAACGGCGGCGCCGACGAGGCGGACAGCTCGATCTATGCAGAAGAGACGGCGGCGGCGGCGGCGGCGGCGTTAAGAGCCATACGTTACTGTCTACGATCTCGTAACGATCATTCCGTACCGTTATTCTCGGTCAAGGTTCCCCGCGCCGAGATCGAATTGAAATATCCCGTTCGCCAAGTCCGCGCCGCGCGCGATCGGGATCCAACGCGCGTGGTCCAACGACCTGGCGCGAGCTTCGCGCTTCTCGTCTCTCTTCCGCTTATAAACAACGGCGTGATAACCGCGCGGACAATATCGGGGCTAATTAGCGATTAGTGTGCGCATATTTTGCCTGGGGGGGGCACGGAGAGAGGCAGATCTGTATGGAAATTAATAAAATTTACACAGCGAGGGTTCGAGCTGGGCTCCGCGGAATAATTCCTCCTCGGGAGGGGGAAAAGGCTTATTAATTCTCATAGCCATGCGTCGTACAGAACGAGGGAGACGTGTTTCTTCTGGCACCTTCCTGCTACTCTGGACGTCCGAGTCAGAAAAGTCTGCGGGCAGAATATTTAAGCCGCTATTTTGATAATCCCGGCAACTCCGAGAGGCTGCTGCCGCCGTCCCTCTTCCACACTCGTCCCGCGTGGATTACGTAAAACGAGATACCTCCGATAGCATAAACTCCGCGGACAACGTCCGCGCGCCGCTCGGGATGCCATTTCTCCGCGGCAACGCGAGCACGTGCGGTAATGTTTTGCCACCGCGTCGCGTAACAATCTCGGCTGCAACAAAGGGAACGTCCAGCGGGTCCCGTTTTGCACGTTTGACACGCGCGAGCCCGGCGCGAGTCTCAACGCGCGTGTTGCAAAGCTGCGCGAAGAAATCCACACTTGCCGCGGGGACGCGCTCGCCGAGGCGGCGTGCGAGGTCGTGTGAGGTCGTACCACACGGTGGAGGGACATGAACGAGCGAATAGGTTGAGGGTCGTGAGTGGCCGTTGACCCTGCCTGTGTATGTACCTGTGTAGTATGCCGGAGCCGGCGAGCGTACGAGCGCGCCTAGACAGGCCGGAATCCGCACATTGATAATAGCTTCTCTAGTTTACCGGCCTACCTCTCGTAAAAGAAGATATTTATGATCCTCTCAGCCTCTGCGGTCGCGACGAAAAAGGTCCTTCCGCAAACTCTTTGGTCCCGCGTGCGGGTGCGCAAGTTGCGCTGCCCGCGAATTAACTAAATGCCTTGACAGAATTTCGCTTCGACAGAATTCCGAGACACGATGTCGATCCTCCTCTCGATCAATTTAGCCACTGTATCGTTACAAACGATCTGATTCAGGTGCTTTCAGCGACTAAAACACCTCACATAATTATAAAATAATGATCATTGGTAGGACCAGTCGTAGAATTATTATTTTACAAAGAATTTCAAGATTGAAAGAACCGATCGCAACTTTTCATTGCAGTATCCATCCATGTTGTCGTCCGAACTTTTGCCTGCCGGCACAGTCGTCCGGAATGATCCGAATTGCGCCAACGTACCAGGAATCTTACCAGCGAATGCGGATATTTCACCAGCAGCGAGAGATCTTTTGAAGCGGCTCCTACAGCCGGAGCCTCGTTTAAGGCTCCGAACTCTTCTCAGCCTCCAGAGGATCGCTTTTTACATGGGCTATGATATTCAAAGTTACATGCTGAAAAAGGTAATTATTATGCTCCAGGTAATAATTTTGTCTTCCCTAGTCATTTGGAGAGAAAAATACATTTGAATACCGCGGCACAATTGGACGAGCTATAGACACAACTTTTTACAACGTTTGTACAACGAACCATTTCTGTTTAAGAAATAATTTTGCATATAAAATAATCATAAAAATGTTGCAAAATTTTCGTAACATAGGATTTTACAATACCTAAATTACTTGTAAAAAGAAATGATGTTGCTGAAACACAATAGCATGGTAAATCAAAAGTGATCGTTTTAAATGAAATCCGAACTCAAAAAAGAAATAAATTTGTTACTTTTTAATAATTTAGATTACTTGTCAACTTTTGTTACTTATAGGAATCGCCGTTCCGGATTTTAGGAATGAAAAATCGACAACAAACAGAACGGCAGAGAATGCGTTGTTTTGATCAAAAATTTACAAATTTTGAATCTTTTCCCGGCGATAGTGCTACGCAAACAAGTCATCAATGATCTCATGTAGACATATAATATGTACCATTTTCTAATTCCACGCGCACACGCTTTTAGATGAAAAGCAAACAGGATAATTTTTTATATTTACAAATAATTTTTTACATAAAATGTGACTGAAGATTTAAAATGACATATTCAAATTTTATAATCCACTGAATCTCATTATAGGATAAAATTTTTCACACGCAAGGTAATTAAAATTTAATTTAGTACATTGCTCATGTATAACGGATTTAAATAACATATTGAATAAAAATACCATGACTTTTGTCGAGTTTTGGTATCTTTTTGAACCTCAAACAGGTTCATCCATTTATCCAGCTGCACCTCGCATCGCTAGATTGAATATTTGACTAATTCAGATGAGACTTTTGCCAAGTCGAGCAAGTCAATGATGTAGTTTGATTCATCGTATGCTTTGTCACGTGTGCATGTAGTGTATGTGTAAATGTGGTGTAGGCCGGAGGAGTCATTCAGATATCTGGAAAAGGAATCCGCAAATGAGTGAAGTCTTCGCCAACCGTTTGGTCTCAGTTTACAAAAGTTTTAATTTTTTTAAGAATAGTTAACAGTATTTTTGTTTGTTACAGTATCTCGTCGATAATACAATAAGTTGCGATAATCGTAGTGCGTACAAACTAACAACGAAACAAAAATCTGGATCTAGATCAGAAACGCAGCGTCTTTCGAAATGAATGTGAGAACAACGTGCTCTTTTCTCTTTTATATGCATACATAAATATATATACATATATACTTATATATATTTATATATATTTATAAATTGGTGAATTTCCTCTTTTTTTTTCTCTACCTCGTTACCGGTTCTCGGTGCGTTCTTGATTCTTTCATTGGATCAGCGGGGCAGCTTCTCTCACGAGAGTGCAATTAATCCATATTTACCGTGTGTAATAATTAATATATATATATACATCATTATTCTTACATATAGAGGATCTTTCGGTTTCGATATATATAATACAATTTTTCCAAATTACGTCCCGTGCAACGCGTCAGCATTCGATCGTTGGCCGAATGTTATGAACCGAACGACGCTCAATATCGGCGGACGAACCGAGTGGAAAGAAAAGCACGCTTCGCGCGTGCGAGAGCGCGCCTGGTGGTTGTTTCTTAAAAACAATGCGAACGTAAGTTTTCAATGATGCGGCGGCGACGCGAGGCGCGAATAGTTACGTCGCTAGTCGTCGCTAGCGCAGAATAATTATTCAAGCGCCTCTCTGCGCATTGCTTTTAAAAAAAACAAGAGAAACGTCTGTCCTAAACTAAACGTCCGAACCCTTTGTCCTATCGATAATCCTCGCGTCCGGTCGAAATGCGCGATAATAAAAGAGACGCGGGGAGATCAATTTCATCCTCCACGGAGGCGCAGTCGCCAACACCTTGTCCGTCGCGCGTTCCGGAAACGACGATTATACCTATTGTACGTACGATCGCGACGAAAGAAGCCGGGGATCAGATCTGCAGGGTCGCGGACGGCAAAATGCAAAATTTCATCCCGAGTGACCGAACGCCGCTTCTCGTCGCAGACCGCGAGTGTTCATTCGCGAAACGGAACAAATTGTACGTCTAGCCGTGAATTGTCTTTACCTTCGCACGGTCATTTTGGTAAAAATCTCTAGGCTCGCCCTTCGCGCCGGATACTCGGCTTATTCGTCTCCTCCTCGGACATTTCGCACCCTCGTACGACACTTGCGCGCCTCCCCTTTGGCAGATTCAAGCCCGAGCGGAGATTTTTCGTGCGACGAGTATCCCACGTCGGGCTACCCCAAGCCTATTCTCGCAGTCGCGGTACCGGAGGCTCCTCAGCGTCGCGGAAAGGGTTGGAGAACTGGAGAACCACCGGCTCGCACCGCCGCATCTACGCTCTCTCCCTCACGCGCTTGCTCTTTAATCGCTACGACTCCTTATTGTTACTGTCGTTACAATGCTTCACTAGTAAGACGCTATATGATACAAGTAGACTCCGTCCGTTTTCACGGTTCGGTTCGTGTAAATTCACTTCCTTCCGCTCTTCTTTTTACAGTCCGACTCCACTGTGCGCGGGACTTTCGCTATTCCGCAAACCGCGAGACAACTTCTTAGCTTCTTTCGGGAAACGTCGCGAGAGATCTGTATTCTTTTAGATGGGGTATTCGGTTTTTTTTTTAAATACAAGTCGAAGGTTCGTTGGAACTTTAAAGAAAGGGAAAATTAATCTCAAGACGTTTTCGGATTTATTTTGCAGAACAAATGGTGCGTCGCTTGTGCGCGGTGCGAAACACGAGAGAAGAACGGTTCGGACGCGCGTCGTCGAGCAGAATGCGAACGAGAGAGAGAGAAAGAGAGAGAGAGAGAATGCGCTAAACTTGTGGACGATAATATCATTATATTCAGATGGGATGAGATATATGAAGTAACTACGTGTTCGCGACGCGCGTTCGTGCCGTTCCGCGCCGTCGATCGGCCGATCGTCCCGTTGTTGAACCGTTCGGCGATGCGATTGCAATGGAGACTCGCGTTAACTTCGTCATCCCTTCGCCTCCGTCACGATGCGCGGCCTCGAACTCGGCGCGTTTCCAGAGAATGTCCAACAATTGTTTGTTTTTTTCAGTTTTGTACACAAAATACCAACTATCTGTGCTGGAAAATGCACATACTGCTTGTACGCGTCATATATATCTATGTATATATATATATATATTTATATGTATAATATTTATATATGTATATGGTGTATTGTTTTGCATTTAGAGCGCGCCGTTATCTAAAAATTAGTATTTATAAGTATTCACCGTTTACACATTGCGTATTCGTGTAGCGTGTAGCAGTGGGCTCTCTCTCCTATCACGGTGTTTTACAATATGCGAATATATGTATATATATATTTATATATTAATATGTACATACACAAAACCATTCATTATTAGACATATGTTTCGCATGTCGTGTTTTTTTTTTTAAATAGTTCTCCTGCCTTTGTTCCACGCTCAGAGAGTGGACGCTTCGAACAGATGTGAGGACGTGGAGCTACGTTCGAGAACGCCGTTCCACAGTAGATGCAGTCCTCCCCACTTGAAAACAGTCATTTACTTGTTCGAACGCGACGAAAGTGCTCCGTCAACGGTACCTAATTATTTAACGCTAATCTCCGTGATTTGATGAAACATTCACGTTGACGCAACGCTATTCTTGTTGCAATCTCTTAGAAACTTTTGAAACCCGTTATTTTTTATGTTAAACTTTTATCTCGAGTTTAACGTTCCTTAAACGAAATTAAATCTGACTTGACTGGAGAAGAAATTTCGTTATTTATTCACGTTTAGTTCGTCGCAAGCTTTTAGTTCGCCTGACTCTCTCGAGTTGAACAACTTTACCGCTATACACTCCGACGTGGAAACGGCTGCCGGTTTTCCTTTTAGATTTAACTTCTAACGTGTGCGCGTGACTCTTTGTGGCGTTCTCTTACAAAAATGTACGCAGCACGACATAACAGATACGCTTTCGAACGTAGCTCGGGGGGAAAAAAAAAGTCTGTCGCAGAGACGCTCCATTCAAATTTCGACCACTCTCTTCCTAAAGTATTTGTTCGTAATCTCATACGCACACCTTCCCTCTCTCTCTCTCTCTCTTTCACTCCCATCTTTCTCTCCATGCCCATTATTCACGCACACACACGCGGGCACGCACTCGTACCGACCCAGGCAATCCGGAAATGGATATATTTGTCGACTACATGGTAGCCACAGCGCTCGACCAATGGAACGAGAGAGACACTTTAATCTCCCTGCTTATTATTTTATGACGTTCCTTATGACGTACTTCTTCGTGGTATTTCCCGAAGGTAGAGGCGTCTCGTCCTTTATACCTTCGACGACCTCGAAGTTGACGAATTAATATCGAACAGCTGAGTTCACCGACGGGTTAAGAGAAAGATCGACACATTACACACCGATCCTCTCACCCCATTGGACGATCGTTAAAAACTAGGATTTCTAAACGAGGAGAGGAAAGTAGACTGTCGACCGCGACTTCGTTTTACTCACCGCTGCCGTGGATTCCGCCTGTCGCGCAAGATCGTGGCTCGCGATCTCTTCTGTTTCTGTCTCTTGGTTTCGCTCGCCGGTACTCCACATCAAGGAGGTGCGACGGACCTCCGTCGCGTTAACGGTGACGTGAGCAGGAGGGTCGGTTTCGCACAACTGGGGTAGGACAAGCGGGGAGGGGAATGCAAGAAGCTTCCAGAGATAAGCGTGCAAGACATCGCACACCGAGGCACGTGTCTTCGTGTCGTTCACCTATTCTTCCTCCTTCGTCGTTGGACTTCGTTCTTTCGATCAGCTAAGACTCTAGATACAAATTTGCGCGCGATATGGCGTTTTTAATGCGACTATTCTTTTTCCTCCTTCTAACTCTCTGTCGAGAACAACGGGCTCGTATGAATTTCGATTACTAAGAGCCCGGTCGTCACCGGGCGTCAGTTAGCGCTAATTCTGCCTAATTCAATTTTATTTTCTCACCCGTCGGTATTATAGACAGGTCTATAACTTATTGTTAGAACTACAAATCCACTTGACCCATCAGATTGCTTTTACATGAGCAGAGTAATTGTCGTTGATGCTCCGGTGTGGTTGACGCGAGCGTAAATTAATCCGATAAGTAGCCGATCAGACGCGATCCCGAACTTTTAATATATAATATATATTTTTCTTCCATTATCGGGCCATTCGAAGTAAACGTATCCGTCAAAAGACGTAGTGAACGTACGTATTTATCGTAAATGCGTTCAATCGTTTTTATTTTTCAAACGATATTTTACCGTGAATTTATTCGCGCTCAACGAATACGGAACAACAACCGTGTCTGCTCTTAATGAATTTGTTAACACTGCCGCGATTAAAGCACGCACGCGATCGAAATTAACGAGGACCGTAGAGCGTCCCTATAGCGATATTATCGATATAACAATGATGATAATAATAGTCACTAATGTACACCCTACCTAATTCCTGTACAAAGTTTAATTGCACAATGCATTTCTGATTTCCCACGAACGGAGTACGTCCAATTTTACCTTTTAGTATTTTTTTTTTCTTTAGATAATCGTAAGCGCTTGCTCCTCAAGGCAGCTCCACGAGAGAGTGATACCTGGCAGTAAAGGAAAACAGTTTTGACGATCGAGCAGTCGACCGATTGTCGTTAGACACTGAATGGCTGTTTTCATTCCTCGCGCGATGTATTACGAAGAGCTTAATAACGAACTACGTACGCAATAGTGTTAGTGAAGTCTCAAGCAATGAATACTCTCTGCGCGGACCGCGCGAAAAACGTGAGAACATGGAATTATCGTAAATCACATCTTCGGACGTCAGCCGAACAATCTTAATCATTAAAAACGAGGGTTATATCGAAAAATGATTTTGCGGAAACTCTCTGCTGTTCATTCGTCAACGTATAAAAATATTAATACTAAAACATTTTTTTTTTAACTAAACCGAACTCACTTTACTCGACTCGTTATTTACGAGATATATGTCGCTTGTAATGTGATGTACTTCCTCGAATATTCGTTACAGGGTTCGAGTATTCTTCTTTTTTTTTCGTGATATCAACGAGACATATCACATATCTCTGTATTACAATGGCTCAAAACTCGAGAGACATTTACATATACAATGATGCCAGGTGACACTGATGAGCTAGCTTGATTGCAAAATGGTGTTTACACGTTTAAGGGTATGTTCACACGCGCGCTCGTAGTGTCCATAGCATTGCGCCGAAGGCTCACGCGCAATTTTTAAACGCGATTAATCTATATGTTCTCACGCATCAGTATGCGTGCGGCACGCGCTGCTCCCACCGTAATCTCTTTATCGCTAAAATACATCCGTGTACAAACGTGTATTCACGTATCTCACATAATTCTTAAATATATACAAGAACAAATTAAAAAAAATTCGTAACAAGAAATGTCGATGAACAGGATATGTAATTAAAAATGACCGATCTTATTCAGCGTAAATATGCGGACACACGTGAGCGTTTCGATAAAAAAGTCTTACTTACTATACAGCGTTTTGATTTTCACAACGGCAAGCTTTTAAGAGCTGAACCCGAAGGGCAGATCGCAGTTTTAAGCTTCAATGATGTCGTTTAATGCGGAAGGAGATACTCGCGCGTAGCGTAACTACTTGAGAATTTATCGCGCAAAGATTTAAGAATATTTCCAAGATATCTTGAGAATACAAACGCCGCGGCGCGTGTACTATAACGAGATCAGTGTCGAAGATACAAAGATGAAGAGTAGTTGTCGGAAAGCGTGAACAATCGTTCGGCCAAGCACGGGTGTGAACGACCCTTGAAAAGAAATCGGCGAGCGACCCGCCAAGTCCTCTTCGACGGGGGCGGCGAGTCACCCTATCACAATCTTCGTCGACGTCATAGTGGCGTTTGTCGCTGGCGTGTATAAATGACGATGACGGAAGAAGTGCCAGTGAATTTGGCGACAACGACGAACGACACGACGCAGCAACGTCAAAGAAATCACCGTCACCGATCGGACGAGTATCGCGCGTTCCGGCCTTAAATCCGGAAGTAACGATTAGCCGACTCTTCCTTCTTTCTTCATCCAGCCTCAACATGAAGCCACCACACTGCACCTTCACGTATACCCGCACCACACTGTAGCACCTCAACACATTGCAATTGTCATGGCCTATGGAACCTGCAAGCGAAAACCAAGCGTTAATTACGAAAGCATGTATATAAATCCACGTATATGTAAATATATTAATAATGAAGATTATAAAAAGTATCAAGAGTTTTCCAATTATATATATATATATAATTGGATATAATTATGTATATATAATTGGAAAACTGCAAAATTGGAAAATAATTGCAGAGGTTTTCACTGACTTTGATAGGCTTTACTCTTTGAGACGACTTCCAACGGGTAATTCAATTTTATCGAGCATAGTTTCGTTTTTGGTAATTCAAAACGAAATTCATCCTACATGTTCTAATTTGACTTTTACAAGACTGCATATATTTCGCGGGATACTTTAGCAAAATGCTGATTTAGTGTCAACTGCTTTCAAAGTGGTTCCGCTTTAAAATTCGTTGGGTGTCAAGTACCTAGTGAGGTGTCGGCTGTCCTCGTGAACGGCCATCTCCGAACTCTTGAACTCGTTTAACTCCTTCCTAATGGCAGCCTTGTCCTTCGGAGTTAATCGTGTCCAAGGCTTGTCGGCTCTTCTGTCGTAATCGTGAGCCTGCGTTACCTCGATATAGTCGTTGAACCTGATAATCTGTAGAATGAACCGGAGACGATAAGTTTATTGGTTTTCGCTGCTATAACTTTATCGTAAATTGTGACTCTTATCAGGAAGAAAATAGCGTCTCCGCAAAATGAGGCACGATAAACTATCAGTTAAACTCGCGGCGATGTATCTTATGGTCAATCTCTATCTAAAAAAAAAAGACAGGTAGCACAACAAAAACGCGAGGATTTAGGGAAGCAACGTTTTCGTTTCACCTTTTTCTCCTTGAGCTCTTCAACAGTCGGTCGGAAACTCAGCTTTCGCAGAAGATAGCGTTTCTTCTCTTCCTTCTGCTTCTTTTCCTCGGCGGGACTTTGCTCTGAAAAGGAAGAGGAAAGAACAATTAGAATTTGACTCGCAATTCGATTTGACAGGAAACACGCGCGATCATAAACATTGTTATTTCGAATGAAAACGTAGATGATTTTTCTAGGATTTTGAGTGGCTTTCCTCTTAAATTTAGCTTTGAAACAACGTAAACGATCTCGGAATCCTCAATTGTTCAAAATTAAAGAGAACAGAGCGAACTTACTTTTCAAAATGTTCCTCTCCTCAAGTTCCTCCTGGGTCGGCCGCATGCTCAGCCGCCTGAAATGAAAATGGTACGAGAATCAATGCAAGTTCATCGGCCGCTTTAATCTTCCTTCGCGAGCGAGCGAGAGATATTCGAGGGAGAGAACGAGGCATCCGCTTTGTGCAAACAATGTGATTCACCGCGAGACCACTCGTCCTATTATTCGCGCGTAATCTTTTCGAGAGACAGCTGTTATTTCAAGCTCGTTTTCACATGAGCCGGATCAGTCGTGACGGACTGACGTCGACAGGAAAAGAAGGGGGCGGAGAAACGAATAGGTATCCCAGAAATCACGTATACGCACTTCCATTATTACTGAAAAATTCTTTTAATAATGAATTCTTTGACGAGGGAAGAAAAATAGCGAGATTATCCGGGTCGCGAATATTAAAACATCAAGAAGGCAGGATGATAACGAGATTCTATCGACATTCTATCTCCGGCTGATTTTTACACAGCTCTCATTACATCGCGCCAAGATATTTTACAGTAATTATATTTTCATAATCAACTGACGACGTGATTATTCGAGTGGGAATTTATTACAATTTCCTAACTCACCGGAGGATCCCACGATATTCCTTCAAGTGGATCGTTAGTTGAACGTAATTTTAAGTTAGACGAGGCGGATTCGTTACGACGTGCCAATTTGCAAGCATGACGAGGGCTTTGACGAAAATACAGACAAACGTGTACTCGAAGCTCTCTTATTCTTGGCGCAATCACGCCAACGTTATTTGATAAGACGAACAAGTCTCTCACCTGATAAGCTTGGCGCCAATGGCCTCTTTCGTCTCCTGCCTCTCATTGTCTGTCTGCAGCTGAAGGATGTTCCTGTTGATGAGCTCCTGTCTATCCGGCCTGAGGGCGAGTTTCAGCGAGAGCGATTCCTGGCAGCGCGCGATCTTGGCTGCCAAACGGCCTATCGAGACAGACGGTGTCGAATCTGCGATTAACTCATTAATCTATTCTACTCGCCGCATATATCGCGATACGCGAAAAAAAAAACATGTGTCACGGGATAAATTGCCTTCATTTTCAAAGGAAAAAAAACATGGAAATAAGTTAATCTCAGGATAATTATTTAACGTCTTAAATGATTCCCCCCTTCTTATTTCGTAACACGGTGGATTTAAATGAGCATATTAAGTCCGGAGTGAATTTCGCACAGACGCCCATTCAAGTGCGCATCGATGTTAATTAATTTCGCGTCCGATCGCACGTCACGATTGCTGATTAATTACCCTCCATGATCAACGAGCAGCTGAAGCTGCGATGCAACAGCAGCGGGGCGTGTTCGGCCGGCTCGGTCGAGGCGCAGACGATCGACACCGTCGACGCGGTCCATATCGACAGCATCCGTATCTCTCGCTCCGTCTCTCCTCTCCTACAGACGCGCTTTCGAGGCGAAAAGCGCACGAAGCGTGTCCGGAGGGATCGAGACCCGTCGCCGCGACGATATTAATTATCTTCGCGCTGATCGTTTCTCATCACGTGGCCTTTAAACTCCAACTTCGGGAATTACAATTCCATCGTTTCGCGAGAGCAAATTCGAAATGAGCGGACGTAGGAATCGAGGGATCGACTTAACTCGAGGGAGTAACTTCGCGATTGCCCGCGCGGTTTAACTCTAGCGAGAGCGAAAATCCGCGCGGCGATAAATCCGGGCGGAAGAGCGAGCAGAAACTGAGCGGCGTGCCAGCTATTTTCGGGGATTAATATAAACCACCTCTTAAGCGACCGCTCACAAACACATACGCGCAGTCCGGCGCGAGTATAATTAGTCCGGTCGCTGAAGACTGATTTAAAGCGTTGAGCAATCGCGCGGATGTATCGTGGGAAAATCAACGCGATGCTCCCGCGGGACGTTTAATCTGCGCTGCCGTCGACGCGGCAAATGTCCGCGCGGGTACACAGATTATTCTCTTTTCGCATCACGCCGATTATACAGAGTGTCCCAGGAGGAAAGGTCAATATTCTGGGAGGTGATAGTATCGGTCATTTTAAGCAAAAATGTTCATATGAATATACGTCCCATTCCCCACTGTTTCCGAGATAAAGCTATTTCGATACACAGTTGCAAAATTACTGACAAGAAAGAAATACTACGTACTATTAGAGAGGGAGAATGGTGGGTGAGGGAGGTAGAAAAGGAAAGAGAGAGGAGGGAAGGAAAGTACAAGAAGGAGGGAGATGGGGAGTTGGAAGAGGGGGGAGGGGGAAGAGAGAGAGAGAGTAGGGGTGTGGGTGTTGTGGTTGGTGTGGGTGTGTGTGGGGGGTGTGGGTGTGGGGGTGTGTGTGTGTGGGTGTGCGGGGGAGGCGACGGGCCAAAGCAAAACGAATATGAAAATGAATATTCTATGAAATATTCTACGAAAATGAATAAGTAAGGCAATAGGAAGTGGAAGTCCTGGAGAGGAGGAGACGTGTGTTTGTGTGTGTGTGTGTGCGTGTGAACGGTAGAAAGGGAGAGCGAGAAAACTCGCAAACCCTCGAGAGATATGGTATAGGTTGTAGATTTAAGTCGTAGTTTTAGATTAAGGAGTAGAATAAGTTGAAAGAATGTAGAGATTGTAACCCTAAGGGGAATTCAATTTAGATCATTATTATTATTATTACTACATACTATTTCTAATATTTATTGTTCAAGTGATACGCTTTTTATAGATTATAAGAAATTTTCAAAAATTTCATCGTTTACAATGCATTTTTCAACTCTTGTGTGAACGTAGCGTGTTGCTCGTTCGACATTCTGAACATTTTTACAGTGTTATCAGCACAACAGTCAACAGACGTATAAGAGTAAATTCCCGTAGACGTTTATGAGGTTGGACGAAGGATGAAGTGTACGGAAAAAGGTAAATACACGAGACATTCAAGTAGCTCTATCTCGGAAACTTCGAGATTTAGTGGGGAATGGGACATATATTCATATGAACATTTTTGCTTAAAATGACCGATACTATCACCTCCCAGAATATGGACCTTTCATCCTGGGACACCCTGTACAAATCCTCCCACTGCGAATTATTAATTGCCTATGCGCAATCTCCTGAAGCAGGGCGGAGAATCGAAGCACGAATCTTGCAAGAGGAGCATATTAAAATTCGATCCCGGACGTTTAACGATTAAGCGAATTCCCTCTGTCTGGCGCTCAATGCCATGAATTACGAACAAATTCATTCAGCGAAGTGCTAAATGCAAAAGCACTGAATCTCAAGTTCTTTGAGGGGCGCTTACGTTGATTATTCGACGCCGGCACATCCAAGTTTCCACTTTCTTTCGAATTTTCGCAACCCTCGCAAATGTTTGAAAGCCCATCCGCGTGCCGAGTTTCCCCGGGCTTCTTTTTTCTCCGCAAAGTTTGCCCAGCACCTGCGATTGACTCAGCTTTTTCCCCCGCAACTGTGTCTTCGAGATTTAGAGCGGTCCGCCGATGCGTGTCTCGGTTGCCGCTCGCGGGAGGAGAACGTTATCGCGAATACACGGGACTATTTATGAATTCGTTCGGAAGTCTATTCAACCGAATCACGTCGGGAGTTTGAAACCTCATATCTCGATGGAAAATTGCATGAGCGGGGGCGTGAAATAAACATGGCCCCTCGCTCTCTCGCGTAACTGCACTCGTGACCGTGCATCTTTATCGCGATGCACACGCGGGCGCCGACGCGATTTAAGCTTCCGCTCGCGGCGGAATTTCGATGTGGATCTTCGAAGGGCCGCGTAGCATATTTATTTTTCGCGAAAAACTACGCGATTGACTCTCGCCGGGAGAGCCTCATCGATCAGCGCGATCGCGACTGTAGTTTTTCATCAACGAGCACGGGCGTCCATCAAAATTCCTCGCGGAGCAACATGAAGTTACTATCTGCCTAATTGATTGCCGACAGGCAAGCACGTGCGCCAAAAACATCGAGGGAAAAGTCGACTTGCAAAGCTCATTCCACTATTTACATTGATTATCGCGACGTAAACTGTGTCACGATACTACCTCGCTTATTATGTTCTCTGGTGCATATTTCATGTGTTTTGCGTAAACTAAATTGAGGTATGTACTAATAATAATTAATATCTATCGTTAATAATTAATCGTCATATAAATAACCATTTCGTTATCAGCTTTAATATTTCAATTAATAATCAATTAATAATTATGATTAATAATTTCTTCAGAGTATTCTATGTGCGTGACATAGATTGCCTCTCGATCGATGTGCGACCGTGCGACGGAATAATTTACCACGACAGTAAAGGCCTGTGTCCACGACGCTAGAACTTGGTCCAAGTTCGAGCTTCGACAAATGTGTAACCAATCAACTTGCAGCTATTCCAAAACACATTTCCAGAACTAGAAAACTTGGCTCGAGTTCTAGCATCGTGGACACAGGCCTGTACGATCTCTCGAGTCGGTGGACGTTTTCATGGGACGATCGCCGAACAATTAAATGTCTAATTGCGATCGGTAGCGGAGACACTCACTTTTCTCGTCGTCGTAATCATCCCTGTAGAGGACCTGGCCGTCGCCGGGGTCGCCGTCCACGTCTTCTCGGATGACGTAAGGCCTCGCGTTCTCCTTGTTCTCCAATGTGCAGGGTAGAGCGAGGCCGAATCTCACCGGTCGACTGCTGAAAGAACGAGGCACGTACGAGATCGTTAATGCGGGGCTGCGGTGGTGCCAGCGATCGCTGGCCGATGCTACGTGAACCAATGTGTCTACCATTGAACTAAACATACTGGAAGGAGCACTCCGTTGTTTTCGTGCGGTCAGACTCACTTCACGTGACTTTATTTCAGCCGCAGAAGAGATGTTAAAAGAGACAACACGGTCCCAGCTAGAGACTCTGTAATCAGAGACTGGCCATAAGAGAGGTTGTCAAATTCCAGCGATTTTCTACGATCATAGAATCGTAGAAGAGTGAGATAGCCAATGTTTCTCTCTCAATCACAGGAATTTAACGAACTCTCTTATGGCCAGTCTCTGATTACAGGGTCTCTAGTCCCAGCTTAACTATCTCTCTCTGACCGCTCGATACTATGAAGGGGTAGGCAGTGCTCGTTCCAGTATGGCTATAGTTCAATGGTGTCTACTCTACGGTGCTACCAAGAGAACGAGATGCGAATGGGGTATATGCCGGGGAGGGCGGGGGAAGGAACGAGTGGAGAGATGCAGTGGCGTGTGTGACACGTCAGGAACAACGGGGCACGCCACGTGAAACGACAGACTCTCGCGCGTATTTCGCCACCGTCCACCCAAGTCCGGTTGCCGTTGCCGTTCGACACGTTGAATGTCGCACCCGCGAACTTTATTGATCGTATCGCGCGCGAGTCTAAAGCCGGCGACACGTTCGCGCGACGGGGAAAATGTATCGCGGGAACTCGGGGCAACGTGGGAAAAACACCCGATCGGACGTTAATTGCGATAACTATGGAAATTAACGCGACTCCCGGCGCATTCAACGTGCTCGAACTCGCTGTTCTTGGATCGATCCGTGAGCGCCACACTACCTTGCTGCTGCTGCTTGCATCGAGAACATTTTCGACTTAAACTTTGGAAGTTACCGCGGCAAAATTTCTTCCGGGAACGGGAGGAGCGCCAGGAGACGGCGAGTGTTTCACGAATATTTAACACGAGCGCCTGACTGTGTTCCTGACAAGTTTTTTTTTCTCTCTCCTCGTAACAGTTTGTCGCAAGAACCTCTCATAATATTTGCATTGTAATATTGCAGTGACTTCCAAAATTTGCCGGGACTTTTCATCTGCTCTTTGCGGTTGCGCTTCACGTGCCTAAAGATTGATTAATACTGCGAAATTATCGAGCTTCTCGCGAGAGACCAAACGTGAGGCACACTACAAACCCGTGCCAATTATATCCTAGTTTTAATGCTAAAAATGTTTTATTTCTTTTTTTCTCTCAAGCGGAGTGCGTGACGTCAGAAGCGAGGTGTGCCTCGGGTAAAATATTTTCTAAGTTAAGAAGCCGGCGCGCTTAAAGCATCAAAGCTGCAATAATGTAATACGAACGAAAGCTCCCGCAGTACTGTCGTTTCTTGCTGCAACGTGCTTAAGATTCGTGTAGAGAGACGTGAGATATATATACATTTTTAACTCAATATCGATAAAAAGGACATAAACTTTTTTAATAAGTAACTCCCACAGAGATGCAGGATTAAAAACAAAATTTTATAATTAAAATTACGGGATAGTATCTTGCTCGTAAGTTTTCCTCTGTTTTCTTACAGAAATTGCGGTACGGCAGAGAAGAAGTTACAGACAAGAATGTAATATTCATTATAATTAATACAACGGTTTTATCCATCATTACATACAACATATTTAAAGGTCAGGTACATCGCAGAAGTACTCTCTAAAGTTTTCGAGTGAAAATAGTACCGCGGAGGTGAAATATTCACTCTATCCGAGCAAATATTTGGCTCCATTAGAGTGAATATTTACACCAATAGAGCGAACATTTCACTTCACGGTTCTATTTTCACTCCAAAAACTTTAGAGGGTAATTAGTATTTAATATACAGGCTGTTCCAGGAGAAAAGGTCAATATTCTGGGAGGTCATAGTAGCGGTCATTCTACGCAAAAATGTTCATATGAATATACGTCCCATTCCCTACTGTTTCCGAAATAGAGCTATTTGATTGTACAGTTGCACAATTACTTTGCAAATACCGTTATTTTAGAAGATCGTGTGACAGGACGAAATCACGTGGAATTTCTGCTACACTGCAAAACATATCCTTTTTATGTATAAAGAACAATTATATTTCCGTTATATTTTATAACTGATATTCAATATTAAAACGGGTTTCTCGTATGTCCGTTTGATTTAAGCATGACTGGTGGAATTCTTAATATGACACTTTATTCATTATATAAAATCCTTTATGTAAGTAGGACCAGTAATGGTTATACCGGTAATGGTTAAGACAGACATTATAACGGATATTGTAAAGGATCTGGTCACACATTTAAAGCGGACAAGAGTTACGTGACCATGGCACCTGATTTTCTTTTGTCGCTCAATTTGTTAGAGTATGTAGCTCCCAGTCGCCTCGGTTACTCGGCGGTTTTCGTCTCGATTACACAGTTTAATAAGCTTAATAGTTTCGTCGCTAATTGTTGCGGAGCAATATGGGAGTGGATAGACGCGGTAACTATCGCGATAAATGTACCGCATGTGACTGCGGCGAATAGACAAAACATGGTCTAATGAAATATTGTCTTCTAGGTGACATTTTCTTTTTTACAATATATCGGGGGAAAAAAATGTGCTAAATTTCTATTTATACAGGACATTATTATTAGGACAATTTCCTGTATACGCAATTCCGCTTTAATTTCGCGTTTACTTAAAGTGGAAGAAAAGTCACCTTTTTCCATTATAATTTCGCGGAATTTAGAGTGGACACGTTTTGCAGTGAAATGCAGTACCAGAACAACTAGAAGACGCGTTCCTTTGGCCACACGGCGTCTTATGTACTTTCAGCGTGACGGAGCTCCTCCTAATTATACTCGATTTATGATGCAACGCCTCAACGTCACTTTCCCTAATCGGCCCCCATTGGATTTTTGTTTATGGGGTTGAATGGAGAGTGAAGTGTGCAGAAGAAAAGTGAATACACGAGACATTCAAGTAGCTCTATCTCGGAAACAGTGGGGAACGTATGTTCATATGCACATTTTTGCTTAACATGACCGATACTGTCACCTCCCAGAATATTGACCTTTCCTCCTGGGACACCCTGCATAGAAAGGGCTACATGCTTTTCTTGGTATAACGGGATTAACAGGGGCACACAAAATACAATCGGGATAATCGAATAACTTGAAGATAAATGTACCGAGGGGGAGAAAGTCGTGTACTCACAGGAGCGGAATCAACCGACGCTTGCTCTCTCACCGTAATTATCCGACTTACGCAAATTGCGCAGGTGAAACTGCGCGGTCGCGACACCGTCGGCCGATGGACTCGCGAGATGGATCTCCGTGCGCGAAAAGGAAAAAAAAAACCTGGAACGAACTCGGCCGTCTCTCGCGCGATATTCGACTCACGTGGTGTGTCGTGCGTAATCGAATGGTGCGGCGTGGCAAGCGTAAGACGAGAGATTTTCCATGGGTTTCCCTAAGGTTTTCTCATGCTTAAAACGCTCGGACGCGCGTTGCCATGCTCACGGCGCTCGCGTGACTCGCGAAAGGGAGTCACTGAGTAAAAAAGAGAGGAGGAGAGGTTCGTACAACACTTTGCTTCTCTCGCGATCGACCGCGCCGTAAGACAAAGACGTAAAGACAATATGTATACATAATACGTATATGTACATATATGTATATATATTATACATCGGTTTGCACGCATGCTTAGTTAGACCAATGCCCAATTACCATATTCTCATCCTAGGCCTCAACGGTGGCCTTCTGGTTAAGCATAAGAAAAATACGATGCTTTACTAGTGACTGACATGTTACTGACATGTTAATGATGGGTGCACGAATTACATTCCATGAGTACTCGCCTGAGAGAGCGTACGTCTCTTTAATAATCCCGTCTCGCATTGCCGGTCTCATCGTAACGTTGCGAGCAACAACGTGTACGCTTAACACGCTGCTTGCCCCCCCCCCCCCCAACAATTTGCGTGCCTTCTTGTGACGTCATAAGAAACTTTTCATTATCATAAATGTATAACGATAAATTGTATTGTCTGATATCATTCGATAAGACTTTATCCCCGCGGGATATGAATTATGCACCTTTTATTTTACCTTGTTATTTAGGTAATTATTAAAATTATCATATCAAATAGAGTATGTCTATATATTTTTGTATTTTGATGGCACTAGTCCGAGAGTAATTACCAGGATGTCACTGAAAAATTGAGACCACCGATATGTCAACGTGTTAATATTCTAACATCCTTAAAGCCATCTTAATGCCAAATCATATTTCAAGTGAGACTTGCCACTGTATAAATTCGGATTAATGTGGTTCAAAAGATTTATTTCCTCGGGCAGTTGACGTAAGCCGCCGAGGAAACTACAGGCAACGAGACGGGAAATTAAAGGACTACGTTCGGAAAAAATTAGGGCTCTTCGACGTCTGCTTTTTATTCTGTTCATTAAGGTCGATAATAATACCACGGTGGAGCTCCAGTGCTCCACTCGAAGCCTGCTTCTAGATCCGATGCTTTCCGAGGCTTTCGATATCAAACAGCGAGAGAGAGAGAGAGAGACCCGCGAGAAAGCGGGCTTTTGAGAACGGAAACGATTTTTAATTAAAGAGAAAAGTCGTCGACGTAGGAAGCGGATTATCCCGACGAATTTGTCGCCGGGTGACTCTCGAAGAGCGCCCGATTCTTACGGCGAGTTTCGAGTTTCGGTGTGAAAGCGTTCGAAAGGAATCCACGAATACCTTTGCATTCATTCCAGGCTTTTTCGCCCCCTGAATGCTATCACGACCCCGTTTTGTTAAGTATTATATCAAAGTGATAGGATCTACGAGCTTCTCTTACGATTCCAACAATTTTGTGATGCATTACGAAAGAGACATTTTCCTATCGAAAGCTTTAACGCAAAGTTGAGTCAAGAATGATTTTTCAAGTATGAAACGCTCTCACAAATTTTCCTCATTTGCGCCCTGAATTTTATATAAATTATATTTTTTTAGCAAAAAAAAGAAAGATCCCAATAAAAATCTGCAGTCGCGTTACACTTTCTTTTATCATTAATCATTTCTGAACTGTGCTTTGTGACTTCCTTCTCGTCCGGATATTTTGGGGGTAAGGGCGACTCTGATTTCCCTTGCCGAACGCTTCCGCAGCGATGGATATATTCGAGCATGTGTAAAATCGAACGCTGCGAGTCGCAGGAGGGCACTAACTTGAACGAGGCGTGGAGCTCCTGGCGTAGCGTCAGCGGCCTATTCTCCTGCGTCGGCGTGTTCTGCGGCGTGCCAGGTCCGCTGCCGGAGCCCCGCTTCTTCAGGACGCTCTTCAGCGGCACGGCGTGGAACTTGGGTTCCTTCGCCGGGATCTCCTCGACACGAGACGTGTCGATCGCCGGGTCTGGCTGCGACACCCTGAAGGCGTACATATTCTCGTCCTCCTCCTTCACATCGACGTCCTCCTCATCTGTCGGGGCAAGCGGCAAGAAAACTCGCGTAACCAAGAGGCCTCGAGTCAATGAAGCGCGATTACTTGACGATTTACGCGTGGAAGTTAAAGAGCTCGCGCGCAGGAAGATCGAGTGGCTATTTTGTTTATCAAAGCTCGAAAAATTCGAGTAAATGTATTTAAAAACAAATTGGGTGATTTGTACGGGTAACAAATAAATGTATTATTATATAAACACGTTTATATAATAAGCAGGCGTGTCGATTGCTCTTTCAGATTCATATAATTACTCGTTACGTTGGAGAAGGGAGTCAATTTATGGATATTCAACGACACAATCATTGCGACCGATAGTCAATAACTAAGCACGCATCACGAAGACAAGTGCATCGATACAATAGGAAATTGCGGTTATCAATTAGCGCAAACCGATAATTAACAGCGGAATGAAATTCCCAGTAATGAGATAAACAGTATTAAATAATTCGATATAATGATACGCGTCGTTACCGTGGCCGTAATTTTATAACTTTATATCGCGATATTGGAAATCAGAATAACAGAAACGGCGGGAGCACGCGTTGCTGGCTATACGGAGCGTTGATTTATCGGTCATCTTAGAATCGTGCCAACACAGGAGACTCTAATAAAGCGACGATGAGCCTCTGTCATGTGATTAATTGCTCCAATTAATTGCTCCAATACTCTTGTCTTCCGCGGCATTAATGTTTCATTACACTTACCCTCGTCCTCGCAGTCCGAGAGCGGGATTTGCCGTTGTCTCGCCAGCAAAGTGGGACTCGGGGAGCTGAACATGGGCGGGGGTGGTATAGGGCCGATCTCGCTCAACGGAATCGGCGGTTCTGGGAGCTCCGACAGCATCAGGGTATTCTGAGGTGGTAACGGATAACATCTCTCGATCACCTGCTGATTGTCGGCGCTCTGATCCAGCACCCCCTTGTCCACTGAAAGCAGAAAGAAAAGCGCGGCATGTAATATCACATCGAGATAAACGTACGCCTAGACTCACGCCACTATTCTGCACATTTTATTCTGTTGTCTCGGTTTAATCGTTTGTTTTCTCTCTCTTAGTGTCAGTGTTTCCAGGTATTCGTGGTCAGATCTTATATTCAAGATCGTCTTGAATTTATCTAAAGATGCTGCATGGAGCATTTCATTGGGGTATCTAAAGATGATCTTAAAACGGTCTTGAAGATAAGACCTGACTACGAGTACTGACCTAAGACTGATCGCAAAATTAAGACGCCTTTGTTACCTAGCGTTAAGACGCTAGATAATTATTTTAGAATTGCCTTAAAAATCGCCGCATCCAAACGCGCTCGGAAGAAGCGGGCGCGATAAAGTTGTATCGAAGCCAGTTGTTGCGAGAAACGTGATTCATCCCGCGGTGCAGGAGCAACAATATTTTGGCAAACGAACGAATGCCACGAGCTCACGCTCGTTGCAGCTGTTAGAGGTGGAACTTGCGAAATACACTTTTGCGGGCTTCGTCGAATTTTATTTATTATTAAATCCCGCGTTGCCGGTCGCGTCCGGAACGCCGGGCGGAATTTTTAATTTGGCGCTGCCGCTTAACGGCTGCGGGGCGTGCTTTATTTTGGAAATTCCACTCGATAAAAAACCGGCGTGTTTTTCATGAATAATGACCCGTCGTTACACTCACGGCCGGTATATCGGTTGGAATGTTAAACAAGTCGGTAGATGCGCGCTTTCGCGCTGCTGGCCATTTGATAATGTCGCGCACCTAAATTCTGACACAAAAGGACCAAGTTCCAGGCGGTTACCAGGCGAGATACTTGGGCTACCACGCATACCCCGGGGATCGTCCGGTCGTGTTTGATCACCAACACATATTTGATTCCAGCCCGGTCGAAATTTATCGCGAAAATTTTAGACGACGTACGGGCGACGTTATCGTGCGAGTTTGCTCCGTGCGTGCGCGATTAATTTCAAACTCATTTGAATAAATATATTTTCCCGGGCATGCACGCTATTGTCAGCTTTTACTGGATACGTGACGCTACAATAACGGCGTTTCCGATCTCTCGCAGAAATTTTCTTCAGAATTTTATTTCTTTCTATGCGTGTATGTGTGTATGTGCGCGAGTGTGAAGAAGAATTTCATTTCCTCTTCTTCCGAAAAAATATGAAGGCGAAAAAGAATGGATACGAAACTGCTTAAACGCCAATTCAAATATCACGTTGAGTTTCTCTTACATTCTAAAGCGCATTGTTTAAGAGTTTAATTAAACAATCCGGAGTTCACTAATGAAAATTTTATGCATAAATATCGATTACTTACGGTATCGACGGAATGTAAAGATCGGAGAATTTTATGTGTTTATGAATCAAACAAATTATTATTATAAAAGTATTCTACTCTCGGATTAAATACAATAGCATTGAACGATATGATTCAAACAAACGAGAACGCCTTACAGGTCCGAGCAAGATGTGGATAGCCCAATCATTTTTAATTTAATATATGTACTCTCTAAAAGTCAATCGCGTTCAGTGAATACAAAACCACTGCGATTTTCAGTGGTATACTCGTAGCTGTAAATCAGTGACTATATTCATTGTATTTAGTGATGATCCACTGATTGATTTTTAGAGAGTGAATTCCGGCGCACAGGACAAGTGGAAAAACGGTACATGAATTCACATATCAAATAAAAAATTATTGGGTTACATCTTGCCCGGACCTACAAGTCGTTCTCGTTTGTGCGGAGTCATATCGTTCAATGCTACTGTATTTAATCCGAGAGTAGAATAATTTTATAATAATAAGATAGATATGGCTCTCTCGCAGAATACGTTTAAGCCCGCCTGCTCTGGTTTCGCTTCTCAAATCGTCAAAATATTCAAAATATGTAAATAACGTCGAGCGTCGTCAAAGAGACAACTAAATCTAATAAAGGAGTTTTCTGTATCCGCGTTTATTCGATGATAATTCATGTAGCGCGACTTCGTGGGAGCCCATCGCTCTTCGTCGAGTTAGCGCATTATAGCTTGCTATCGTAAACTGACGACCCTCAGGACGGAGAGTAAACTCTATTTCGAAGGTTTCTATGAGTTGCATAACGAAACCTGAGTTTATGCTGGCTGAGGCACTTGTGGATTATTTACACGTCGAAAAACATACGAGAAACTTTTTAAGTAATACAGATCCGTAGATCAGAATTACAAATGTGCGAGGACAAAGTACAAGATATAATTCAGGCAACATAAACGCCGAGGTACATAGTCTATACAATTAATTGTTTCTTATCATATACATAGCATTTGTTAAATACATATATTATATGTGTTTCGTGTGTATATCTTATTCTTTAGCATTGTCTTAATTTCCTAATACGGGAAATCTGAAAGGCATATTTTTAGTAAAGTTTTAGGTAACTTTCCCTCCCTCCTTCTCTATCCGTTTGCCGAACTCATTCGTAGAATCGCTTGTTCCGACCTTGCCGAACTTTTCTCTGAGCGACGACGATACTCGCGGCACGCTTGTACGCCGATCTCGCGAGTGTGTACTCACTGTTGAACAAGATCAGCCTCCTGGCTGTCACCCTGGCCTCGAGGGTGTTCGGCCTGTTCGGCTTTTGCTGGTCCCCGGCATCCAGGGCCGGACCCGGCATCGCCGAGCCGGTCGTGCCCAAATTGGCGGCCTGCGGCTCGCCATTCGGCGATATCGCGCCATTCGCATTCTGTTCAGTCTTTTCCTTCTTCGGCTCTGCAACAGAAAAAAAAGTTCGACACCGGTCAGAACCGTGGCGGGAGATATAAGCGTCGTCGGAAGAGGCGGATTAGGCTGGCTGCCTCGCCGATTTCTGGTCCTCGCGAATTTTCGAGTCGGACGACGCGCTCGCTCAGAGAAAAGTCCTATCCGATCATCCGTAAAAAAAAAATCCATTATCTCAGTCGTTGTCCGATCGCTCTACCGCGAAACGCTGCGGTTACTTTGGCGATAATTTTCGATCGATGTACTCGTCGAGATGGCTTATCGGCTTACTCGGTGCATCGCGGTTGCATAGATGGGACAACCGTAATCCGTTAAGTCACTTCTTGATCGAAGGCGACGCTGCGGATATATTTAAACCGCTTACAGGGGCGAGTACGCTCGTTATCGTTAAGTAATATTATTGCGTGTCGCAATTATAAAAATTTATTAAAAATTTAACGGTGGCAAAGTCAAATCAAGTCGACTTTTGGCTTTTATGTGTTTAACGATCGTTTTATGTTAAACACATCTTCAATTACGAGCCTTTATTGATATGCCAATAATGAGTTGTGAATCTGTAGTTAATCACCAGCATTATTTGTTCATTAACTAGCATTTGTACGATCACGGGAAAGGGAAAACCGGGTCACGGCAAGAGTTGTCGATGCCGTTTGTCAGTCGGGCAACAGGGGGGACCTTCAAATTACGTTTGTCTTCGCCCGGTAACGGACACTCCGCTGACTGGTTGTCGACGAAAATCTGTCCGGCGTTGCGAAAGTTCGACGCATGTGCCGTGACGGTATCGTGACATTCCCGCCACAAAAAAGGATACGTCGATTTCCAGGACGGACACATACCGTATGAAGCGGAAACACAAAAGCTTCTCGTATGCGCGCGCGCGTTATTGACTGCTGACTGTCGGTTTCGGAAATCCGCTGTGGATTTCGAGAAGCTGACACATTCCCGATTCGGCGGCGATTAAACGCAGCGCGCGGGGTCTTTAAAATTTCCCTTTGTACGCTTGGCGTTACGTACATATCAATGCGCACGGTAATAAATCAATCGGCAATTGTAGAGAGGTGCAGCCAGAGTACTTTCTGACAATGATGGCGTGCATTTTTCCCAGCGGCTAGATCTGTCGTTATATCTCCCGTTGCATCGTGAAATTATTTAAGAACGTCAGTTAAAATGCGAACCTGTGCCGCCCGATTAGTCTTTTCACATACATTTTAATTAATTATTGGAAAACTCGGAAGATTTAATCATTTCGAAGCGACGCACGCGATCTCGTTTAATTAATGTGCCAATTAATTTCAGCAATTATGAAAAATCGCGGCTAAAAGTGTCAACGAGAAGATAAAAGAGATGTTTTCTTATTACATTCACTACACGGAGGGAATTTTCTCTTCAAATTTACCCTGAAAATCGTGTAATCGTGGGTCAACATGGCATTTTCAACAACTTTACGACAGTTTTCTGAAATTTTACCACACATTTTACTAATCAGCTGTACGGGAAAATTTCAGAAAACTCTCATCATGAAGTTCTTTAAAATTCCGTGTACCGTACGAAATTTATTATCGGGAATTTACAATGTGTACAATTTATTAATCAATTACTGCTACGCCGCCATATTTGATCCCTCCGTAAGCTCTTTTTATAAAATATATCCTTACTAAGTAGACGCCGCTTGGCTTTCACAAGAAAAGCGTAATTTTGCGATACGTAGTTAGGTAGGATATAAAATTTAACGGCAAACAAACATCATCGAGATTATCGAGACAGATGAGGCGTATTATTGCGACAATGTGCGCCATTGAGTGCTGATATCAAAGAGATAATAAACCCGCAGATTGGGAGCGGTCGCGCTCAAAGGACGAGGACGGGCACAATGCTGCTTGATGACGAAAATGAAATGCTATTCCAAATATACCGTCGAAATATAGCGCACGGAACGAGATAGGGCCGGCACAAAGATACGATCCATTCACGGGAATTACGAGTTACAGACGCGCGTACGCTAATGCTGAAATTAAGATCAAACGTATTAATGTCCACAAGTGAAACCGACTACGCTGCCCCCCCGCCGATCGATCTCGCCTCGGACGAAATTAAAGCGGCACGATCGGGTTTTCCTGCAAAAATATTCCTCATGTTTAACGGCTCTTTTACACCACAAAGGCTAAATAACGGGACGCCAGAGAGCGAAGATGAGTTACTATGGGTCGTCGATAAATATTAAGGCGCGGGTGTCGTGAACGCTGCATAAAAGGAGGACGAGGACAGCTGCGGGAGAATAGAGATGAGAAATTGCCGGTCTTCGGTTTTTCGAACGAACACGCCTCGCCCCCGTTCGCTCGCGCGATAAAGATCGATTCGATTTTGCCGGGTTTTACGCGTCCCGGAAGCCCCGCCGACGTCGCGTTTTTGGGAGATCGCCAAAGGAATCTCGAAGGAACGACGAGCTCTTTCGACACGCTGCTAATAACGTCAACAATATATAACGCACTACAGAGGCGAGAGCAACTCTGCGGTTCGTCTACTCTTTGGAACTCTATTAATTTGATCTTTATTTTTATTGGAAACCGGAGTCCCGCTGTAAAACGATGTAGCTTAGTTGCTCAAAGAGATGAGATATTTTATAGATTTATCAATTATGTGCTGTATCTTGTACACGGCGAGACTTTTCTTTCAAAATTTATCCTGAACATATTATAATCGTGAAACAACACGGCATTTCGAAGAATTTTATGAGAGTCTTTAAACTTTGCCATACATTTCACTAGTAATTATAGTTAGTATACATTTTACTGGGAAACTTTCAAAGAACTCTCGTAGTTCTTCAAAATGCCACGTTGTCCCACGATCACACGATTTTCAGGATGGATTTTAAGAAAAAAATTCTCTCCGTGTACTCCGCGCAGCGTAATATAAGACCAAGTACGTAATCACATAAATGTCCAAGAATTTGACTCTTCGGCCATTAGCATATTTAACGTTCTAATTGGCTGCTTTCAAACTATCCGTTGAATTTTCAATAGCTGCGTTTAAGGTCAAGAAATTATTCATTTCAATCAATTACGCTTCAGCTTCCTAGGTTTCCTAGGTTCTCCGTACGTAGCGCAGAAAGGATACCAGAGTCTCTCGTTTAACGCGCTAATATCGCGTAATTTAGATCGAGGGCTCGATTAAGCGGCGCAACGAATTTCGCGCAATTAGTCCGCGCGTGTCTATTCACTTACTTCGCCAGATGAGATGGGCGATACGGCCCATGAATGATTAACGCGAACTCGCGGCTAACTGGCTCGCGTCGACTGATTGCCGCGACGAAAATTTCGCAATTAGTCTACCGGGTGTCTCGCAGTGTCACACTGTCACCGCTGTCACGTTGCTTCAGACGAATGTGTGACGCGAGAGCCACCCGACGCTTCTCGACTCGGCGCTCAGTCAAGCTCGAGTCAAGCTCGAACGCCTCCTTCCTGCCTGCGACGTGCTGCGAGGCTCGCACGAGACTGATCGCGAGCTAGGAGCTGCCGGATTCGCGCGCGCGTACGAAAATAGATGAATGACTTCGCCGCGAGGCAGAGCGACACACAATACGGTGACCTTCCATCCGCTGTCACCGCAGGCTGTTTTACGTTTGATATACTGCCGCGTATTTTCGAACGATCAACATTCCGCGCGTCGCAATCATCTCCGCATTGGAATTCCCGCGATCCAAGTCCTACGAATTCTCCGCTTATGGTTTTCTTCGATCAGTTTCACAATCAACAATATATATTGGGCTTATAGCCCACAGTCGAGAAGGTGCCCTGGCGAACGTCAGGTAAACAATTGTTGGAGAACGCATAGTAATAAATAAGGGTGTGTCTTCGGGGCGGTAGGCGCTAAGACGCGCTACTTACTTATTAAATTTAATTTCGGCGAGACAATTAACGGGCTAGACCAGGAATCGAACCTGGTAAACTTCCACTTGCCGGGCGAATGCTCTTCCAACTGAGCTTACCAGGTCCACACTTGAAATCTTCCTTGCTTACCTAGGGGAGACCGGGGTTGGAAGTCGCATTTTTTTTTCTTGTGTTTTGGGTGAGATTGAGATTAGATTGAAATTTGACCAAATAGAGTAAAAGTTACTAAATTTGTGATTAGTAAACTTTATTGTGATTGGTCAAATTTCAATCTAATCCCAGTCTCAATCCGTAGTCTGATACGGGCGTTATGATCGCCGCGTTCCGACGTGTGAGTATCTCATAACAGGCTTATAGCTCGCTCATGTCTTCTAACTACTGACTTCTGTCTCATTGTAGACCGAGCTTTAGCGTCTTGCGTTTCGCGCCCATTGTAGAATAAGCTTTACCCTGCCTGGACGACAGGTTGTCCTCGGGAGTGGGCGAACGCGATACGAGCACGGCCTCCACGGTAACAAATACGGGAACGGGGAAGTACGTGGATCCGCGCACGTTTTCGACGCAACGATGACACGCAATCCCCTCGGATCGGCTGTTCTCACCTCGTGGCAGCCAACGCGGAGCCGGGCGAATTTCCGCGCCGGAGAACTTCTCTGCCAAGTGCACGTACACGAGAACGTGCGTCGAAGTTCAACCGTGCACAGATACGCGCGTGCAACACATGGACCACCGCGGCCTCGGCGGTCCTGCCAAGCGCACGCACTGTCGCCCTCACTCGCGGGGGAACTTCGGCCGGTCGCGGTGCCACCGACGCATCTCGAGGTCCGGCGCAACGGAGGCATCCGCCGGTCGGCTCTATGAATAGAACGCGCAATGCCGCGTGCTCTTGGCAACATTTTCGTTACGTGGCGTTACGTTTGAGGAATTTCGGTTAACGGCGAGAGCCCGCGTCACGGCCGCGCGAGCGTGAAAAAACTGGAGCACGAAACCAATGCGGTTCCAACGTTACGCGATGTGCCGGCAGATGCACAGCAGTGCGCATCGATTTTCGCAAAAGTTGCCCGAGAAAATTGTGTACCCATTAAATAAAACGCGAATGTCTTT